ACAAAAAAGAGAAAAAGCTTATTTTGTAAATATTTTGTATATTTATATCAATTATTTAAGATGGGGACGCCACTATGTGCGTATTTTAACCAAATTTTAGTGAAGGATGAGTAGGAATAAGTGGCGCGATCTTGTAGTCTTGTTAGTGACTAAGGCCAACATGTTCCTTAGACACAGATGTTAATTAATAGACCATACAGCTAATGGCAACTAAGGGACTTACAGTTTATAGTGGAATCCGAAAAACATTTTTTCCTTGTACTTGTAAATAATGAATTGGTCTAATTATTAGGATAGTACTGCGGATTGTCGTAGTACTCACTAGTGCGGACGTTAATCCACACCAGGGAGCATCACATCCACCGTGCATGCCTATGAATATCCACAATTCGTAAAAAAAAGGGGGGACATAACCGTATATATATATCATTATTATAGATATTTTTATGTTAATATAAATAAAATGTGTGCTTAGAACATAATAAACTCTTTTAATTATATATTACCCTCATACATGAGTCCAAAACGTTTAATTTGAGACATAAATAAGGCCTTTCGGACAATTACTTCAAAAGATACAGCAAGAAATCAAAATTTACAAGATGGCGGCTGTTCCCCAACTGCGATTTCTTGGGACTTCGTGTGGGCCACTCAGGACATTGTTTTGAACATTTCCACCAATTTTCAGCCTGTTATCAATTTTGTCCGGGTCATTACCTAATTGCACTGGACTATTAACCATTTCTTCTACAATGAAAACCCGGACCTGTTAATAATAACAGAACATGGACTATCAAAGGAAAACCTTGCTACAACCTGCATTGAGGGCTATACTCACTTATTGGAGGATACACAAGAAAAGGCCACATTAAAGGAGGAGTTGCTGGATACGTGAAGAAAGGCCAGGAAAAGGAAATAACACTTGTTGAAACGAGCTGAATCAGAACTCATGTGTGAAACAGCCCTCTTTGAGATAAAGAAAAAAAAAACAAAATACTGGTACTTGGTGTCTACAGACCACCCAAGGCAAAACTAGACAGCTCAATAGAAGTTCTAACTGAACAACTTAACAGAATGATGAACTCAAACAAAGAAACCGTAATCATGGGAGACATCAATGTGGACAATCTTATTGAAAATAGCGACAACACGAAACTACAAGAACTACTTACTACATACGGCATCGTGAGAATGAACATCCCTCCCACGCAAATCACAAGTGAAACAGAAACATCAATAGACTGGATCTGTACTTACATAGGCCTACATCCTGAGAATATACAAACTTCTATCATCCTGACAGGCTTATCTTACCAACAGCTGGGGGTCCTCCCCCGGAAAATTTTGCAGTTTTGAAACAAAAAAAGAGGGGCTAAGCTTATTTTAATTGTCAAAAGCACTTTGAATAAAAACAAAATTATGAGTAAAATTTATTTAAATTCAGGCAGAAAATTGATGAAACTAACAATTATTGACAACAGACAGAAACATAATACGAGGCATGTTTTTTAAGTAAGTACCGTTTTCAAATTTCTCCGTTCCAGCGCTGCGATTTTCATTTTTGACATTTGTGCTGTGTATGTGCATCTATTGGCAAGCCTGCGCCAGAAATTCGGCAACAATCGGACGTGTTTACATCCGGTTTCGAGCATTCGAAATGGTGCCGCCAATTGAGACTACCGCCGACCGTCAAGTGCGCGCTTTAATTAGATTTTTAAGTGCTAAAGGTGTGAAAGCCATGGAAATTCATTGACAGATTAGTGAAGTGTATAGCGAGAACTTTTTGAGTTACGGAATGGTACGCAAGTGGGTAAAAGGGCATTTAAAGACGGCCGCATCAACGTTCATGATGAGTAACGCACCAATTCATCAGTAATGATAGATGGCCGGCGGCCGCCCCGTGCATTGCTCATCATAAACGTTGATGCGGCCGTCTTTAAATGCCCTTACCCACTTGCGTACCATTCCATCACGACTTATGTTCTCACCAAACACTTCGCTAATCTGGCGATGAATTTCAATGGCTTTGATGCCATTGAAATGTCAATGTCCGATTGATGCCAAATTTCCGGCGCAGGCTTGCCAATAGATGCACATACTAGCACAAATTTCAAAAATGCCAATCGCAGCGCTGGAACGGAGAAATTGAAAAACGGTACTTACTTAAAAAACATGCCTCGTAATATGTTGATAAGTTAGTCATCTAAGAAACGTGATCAATAGTTTCATGGTGTATTAATATTATTAGCGAATTTCCCTATAGGGAAGTAGCTATTACCGTCTCATGGTAAGACCTAGGCCCGGGACTGATTTACGTTTTCATTTTGATGTCCTCATAGAGGCCAAAGACACCATTCGTTCAAATTTTAGCGAATTTCCCATATAGGGAATAAGCTATTACCGTAGTACTCATGGTAAGACCTGGACGCGGGACCGATTTTTTTTTTCGTTTTGAGGTCCCTAGAGGCCAAAAACACCATCCGTTCAAATTCATCTATTATTTCTTTTACATTTATGACAACAGCTAATTTGCAACCAAAAGGTGAGTGAGCGTAGCGAACGAACTTCAACCTGGAGGCGAGTGAGCGTAGTGAACGAGCTAACCTGAAGGCAAGTGAGCGCAGCGAACGAGCTCCAACCTAAAGGTGAGTGAGCTTAGCGAACGAGCCCCAACCCAAAGGTGAGTGAGCGTAGCGAACGAACTTCAACCAGGACGTGATTGAGCGATGCGAACGAGATCATCTTGAAAATTAAACGTAACGGTATATATATATATAAATATATAAATATATATATATATATACTAGCTGACCCGGCGAACTTCGTATCGCCTAAGTTATAGGTTTCCCCTAAGACAGACCGATGGAAAGAAAGTACCGTTACGTTTAATTTTCAAGATGATCTCGTTCGCATCGCTCAATCACATCCTGGTTGAAGTTCGTTCGCTACGCTCACTCACCTTTGGGTTGGAGCTCGTTCGCTGCGCTCACTTGCCTTTAGGTTGGAGCTCGTTCGCTACGCTAACTCGCCTCCAGGTTAGCTCGTTCGCTACGCTCACTCGCCTCCAGGTTGAAGTTCGTTCGCTACGCTCACTCACCTTTTGGTTGCAAATTAGCTGTTGTCATAAATGTAAAAGAAATAATAGTGCTGCACCCTGTTGGTAATCCTTGTAACTTTAATGCTATTGAACATCATAGAACAGAACCAACTTGTTTAATTGAAACAGCTGTTAAGATTCATTAATTCCATTTCTCATAAGGTTAACATGGGAAACTCCAGAGCCACTGGGGCGGAGCCCTTTTAAGAATTTCGAAACGGGAAATAGTTTACGTCCGATTCGCATACCTACAGAATTTACACACCAAATTTCATAACGATCGGTGAAGTCGTTCCGGAGGAGTTTGCAGACAAACACTGTGACACGAGAATTTTATATATTAGATATGTGTCCGTCAGCATGATAACTCAAGCAAAAATGATCCGATTTTGATGAAATTTGGTACAAACGTGTAATCCTACGTTTATTCGAACGAGTTCGCGATCCAGCATGATCGGACCATGTGAACGGGTGTTTACGGGGGGTTTTATGGGGTAAAAATAGGTTTTTCCCATTTTTGACCCAAAAAACTTAAAATTTTGCAATTTATTTCCAAACCATTTTGTAGAGCTTAAAAAAACAAATAATTTAGTATATTGAAGCGTTATTATGCGCCTAACGGTTACGGAGAAAATTACAAAAAATTGTAAATTTAAAATTCCCATGTTATTCTTATGGAGAATAAGTAAACTGTTGTAGTTTGCTTGTTTATGAACATATTTTGATCACATTTGGAAAATGTTTTTATATCTTACTAACTATTAACATTTTACAAAAAAAAAAACAATTTTACCCTCCCTGATGCAGCAAACCTAAGTACTTGTTAAACTAATTCTATTTAAATCCGGAATAAATGTTATATTTTTAAGTAGACATTTCAGTGTAAATCCAATCAGTCAAATGGAAATTCGCTTAGTCTGCAGGTTTGCTGCGGCGGGGGTATTTATATATCTATATATATATATATATGTGTGTGTGTCCATCCGCACGATAACTTGAGTAATTTTTGTCCGATTTTGATAAAATTTGGTTTGAAGGTGTAAAGCGAGATAAACTTGAATGAGTTCGCGAACCAGCATGATCGGACTATGGGAACGGGGTTTTATGGGGTAAAAATAGGTTTTTCCTATTTTTGACCCTAAAAACACAAAATTTCACAATTTATTTTTAAACCATTTTGTAGAGCTTAAAAAAGCAAATAATTTAGTATATTGAAGCGTTATTATGCGCCTAATTGTTACGGAGAAAATTCAAAAAAATTGTAATTTTAAAATTCCCATGTTATTCTTATGGAGGATAAGTCAACTGTTGTAGTTTGCTTGTTTATGAACATATTTTGATCAAATTTGGAAAATACATTAATTTCTTACTAAACCACAGTACCTTTTAACATTTTACATGAAAAAAAACTTTTTTACCCTCCCTGTTGCAGCAAACCTAAGCACTCATTAAACTAATTCTGTTTAAATAGGGAATAAATGTGATATTTTTAAGGAGACATTTTAGTTTAAATCCAATCAGGCAAATGGAAATTCCCTAAGTCTGCAGGTTTGCTGCGGCGGGGGTATTTTTGTTATTAGATTTAAGACCAAATTCTCTTGTACAACATTTAGACCTATAGCAATGAATACGGTTGTATTCATAGCCTATAGATTATAACAGTTTAATTTGGTTTTTAAATAAAACACAAGTAATTAAGTCTTAGTAATAAAGCAAATCAATTGTTATTATCAATAAAATAATTTGACGCAATTAATTTAAATGTGCAAATGAGACACTAAAAAAGAATATTTTTGTTTCAAATTACTATAGAAGAATAGGCAAGATTTTTGTCTGCCATGCTTTTTAGGATTTGACAGGAGAAAATATTTGTATGTGTATATTAAATAAAAAAAATTTCCAGGGTCAAGCAGAAATAAGAAGTGGCCTTGGCAATGGGAACTATGCTGGTAGCTCCACTGAACAGGTGATAAGACATCCATCTTAAAATATATAATATTCACTTAGAATAACATATTCGAAACATAAAGTACGCTGCTGTATTAAAATCACTTTTAATATCTATATATTAATTTGAAACTGTTTCCCTTTGTGACAGCTAATTTGAGAGAACGGCTGGGCGTAGAAACTTGGTAGAGGTGTCTAAAGAAAGGTCTTGGTCTGTAGATGAGCCATCAAAAGAGAAACGTGGTAAATTCCTTCGGGGCTCTGCCCCAGTGGCCTTTAAATTCCCATCCCATGTTATTCTTATGGAGGAAAAACGGGGTTTTGTCACAGCTAATTTGAGAGAACGGCTGAGTGTAGAAACTTGGTAGGGGTGTCTAAAGAAAGGTATTGGTCTGTAGGTGAGCCCTCAAAAGAGAAACAAGGTAAATTTCCTTGGGGCTCTGCCCCAGAGGCCTTTAAAGTTCACTCAGCAGTTTTGTTTACATTACGACCATATGGATAATTTTACACTACTTTTAATGAACCAGCTGTTAATATTAAAATTGTATTTAAAAGTCTACTGAAACTGTCAAAATTAAATGTTTACACATTATTATTTATGATTTAAAACTGATTCTCCACTGCATGGCAAGTTTTTATGGTTTCAACAAAATGATGAATTTATGATACCTTTTAAATGTTTTGTTCAAAAATCTATCCTTTATTGCTCTTAACAAATTTGAAATTTTGAAATCAGTGTGACATATCAGTTTCAAAGGAACATATAATTATTCCTTATCGGGTTAGCTTATACATATTGTAAGGTTCAAGAATATTATTGAATTCAAGAAAGAAGACCAGAAATTCATCCATTGGTTTAAAAGTTTTCTATAATCGGGTTGAAAATTATGTTATAGATGAGTACATTGAGAATGAGAGCTGTGTTCAAGTTTTGGAATAGGCTATTTACGGAGTATGTTTCATCTATGGTTTTGGTGAAGTACGGTAGGTAAATTAATGTCAATTCACTAATTCAGGTATTAAAAAAAATGTGTACAGGATTTTTACTTTGATGTACACATCTAGCTAGGTCGAACAACGCCTCTAAACCTCACTACATACAACAAATTCTGAAACACAACAGTACCATCACATCTCATCGCATTTGCATCATTTGTTAGGTACCAAGGCTGGACTAGGTTATGGATTTGGTTCTGCAAATGTTTAAGATTTGTGGTCAAATTTCCTACAATTATGGTTCATTCCATCCACGAAATACATGCACAGCTTTATGTAATCGATATGGCCAAGTCAAAACGACCCCATTTAATCAATTAGCAAGTAAGTACAGGATGATTAAATACATGGGTCCATGTGGCAAGAGAAGGAGTTAAAATTGCTTGGATCGAAGTAAGAATGTTACTGCTTTCTGGATAATCAGATATTTTTATCGAATAAAAAACTGATTTAATATGCTAATAAAATTCTGTATGTTTATAACCAAAGATGAAGATTCACTTATAAATCTGAATACAATCTGAATGATTTTCCTAAAGCAGATGGAATTAGTCGTTAGTAATATTGACTCTTTCCGTAACATGATAGACTAATTATATGAACTCCTTCTCCCATGTAGTGAAAGTGACTTTGACATGAAACAAACTCATGAACAAACATTTATAAGACTTCTAAAAAACCTTTTGGGCAACCTAAAGCCGATAAAAAGGTAGGAAATATTGTGTTAAACGAATTCATCAATCACGTTTTTTAGGGAACACAATCGTCATACTTATTATTATGCTTATCCTCCCTCATTTAACTAAGATTTTAATAACTTCACTCTATCTATCGCAGTTAGCTAAATTTACATAAAACATCAAGATTAACCGTCGATTTCGACGGGGTTCCACTAGTCTAAATCTAATTTTTATTTATTTTCATTAACATTTTTTAAGAATATTCAATTGAAAGAAACATTGAAAGCAAACAAAATTAACTGATTTAATGGGACTAAAAAGTAACTAATTACCAGTGCTGCTTGTATTATTAAAAAATGTTTTGATATCAATAGAAATATAACTACAGTAGAACTACTATTATTTGTTTTGCATTTGCTTTGTTTTTACTAACACTTAATTACTTTTAACTCGGTTTAGTCATCTTCAGTATAACCTTATCAAGAAAATAAAAAAACTCTTAGTCATGGCTATTGTTTCTTCTTTTAACACTGAAAACAACGACTTGATAAATGTGTACATTAATGTCAATTAGTTCTCAATTGTTAAAGAGAAAAACTTGTAATTTTAAATCGCCGAACGAAACGTACCAATAAAGTTACATCTGAAATATTATTTTTATATAAAAATGTGTACAGTATAAAAACGTTCCCATCCATTACTTTGACAAATTTTCTTAAATTCATAATGCAGGATTTTAACAAATGTTTTATATCGTATATAACTTTGTTCCAGGAAGATGGGAAATCAAAGAAAAAAACTTCCAAAAAGATAAGAAACAACCAAAAGACTATTGATGACTTATTTAAGGAGGTAAATAATATGAAAATTTGTTGCAATTTAATTACATAGTTTTTTGTCTATTGCAAATGGTTAATGTTTATATAGTACAGTATATGACATACAGGGACATGGATAAAAGGTGGGAACATAATTATAATGCATGCTTCAAGCACATTTTGACTAATCTATTGCCAAGTTTTAGTCAGATAGCATAGCTTGATGATAAATGTCATCTGTTACCAGAATTGATATTGCTTGGAATCGGACCAGCAATTTTAAGATTTTAAAGTGAACACTAGAACCACTTGGCTACTTAGCACCTATACAATTACTTAAATTTATGAATCATATTTTCGTATTGTTTTTTACTTGAAAAACAAAAAGATATAAGTGTCTAATAACACTTGTAATAGTATATTTACATACTGTTGACTCACAAGACAGTAAATACATATAAAAGTTGGTAAGTGGTGATCGATTTCGATTGGACACTCCAATCATCATCAGACCCACTAGGTGTAAGTATAAGTGTGAGTATAATAGTGTAAGTATAATAGTGTACCTGAGTATAATAGTCAACATTATAGGTGTAAATATATTATTACAAGTGTTATTAGACGTAATCTTTTTGTTTTTTTCAGGTAATTTAATAACACGTACGATGCTGATCAAGAAGTTATTCATGGTTTTTTACACCAGGCAGCTAGATAATTTTAATTTTAATGTAAAATAAATATCTGTACTAGGAGAGTAGGGGCCTACCGGTATTAACAATAAAATGTTCACTAACAGATTCAACAAATCAGAGCATGGTTAGAAGCTGTGGAAGAAGAAACCAAACTAGTCAAAAGATTGCACTCAACAATCTTACATTCTACACGGACCGAACAAGGTACCTTACCAATTATTACTTCATATAAGTTAATTAGATAGAAATAATTTTAGAATGGCTGAAATAATAAACAATTCTAAAAAGTAAAAATATGCAATAAAACCAAGTAGAGATAAACAAATTATCTCAAAAGAGCTTTCAAAGTTCATAGTTGGGAAAGTTAGTCAAAATTTCTAACTAGTTAGAAGTTAGAAGTTAGTCCCATAAAAAGTAACTGATAGAAGTTACTAGTTAGTTAGGTTAAAAAGTAACTGATAGAAGATAAAGTTAGTTTTCGACATTTGTAGAATATAGCTGTTTGTTGGACGGTTGTTTTAAAGGATTTCACATGTAATGAAATAATGACACATCTTGGTTACCTACTAATTATTGTGTTTTAATTAAATATTAATTAAACATCGTCACATTTACATTACATGTAATGTAAAAACATTCATTACTACAACAAAATTTACTTTAAATGCCCATTAAACTTTAAAAGAAGTTGTTTTTCAAAATTGGTGTCACTGATTCTTCCTCGTCTGTTACTCTGTTAGTGATGACTAGGCTTGCCGCTCTGAACAGGCGTTCGCAGTGAACAAATAAGGTGTTTTTTTTTATTTGTAGATTTATATATGTAGTTATCTTATTATTATGTATTTGTTTCAGGACTAGTGAATATTTTGTTAGTAAATTTATGTAAATTTATAGCTAAATAATGATTTACACATTAGTTTGCCGTGAGTGAATACTGAAGCAATGTCAGTGTGGTAGTCAGGTACACATCGGCAACTTCGCAGATTCGTACGTGCTCCCGCCCGGCTGGGAAATATCGTACAAACACCAGGCGGCCCGCTACCAGTCACGGGAGAAATTTTTGTCTACAAATATAAATTTGTTTAAAAACCACCTTTGTTCTCATTCTAAAATTTGTCATATTGGTGTTATTTCTTGTGTTACGGCAAACTTGATGGTACTTTGAACGAAATTTTCAGTGTCTTATTAACAATGTTAGCATACATTTTAAAAATTAACAGCAGCATAAAAACTATTGTGAATACAATTTTTAAAATGCATGGAAATGTTAACAATGAACCTACCAATAAGCCATAAAGATTTCAAAAAGATTGGCTCAGTGGTTTGTTTACAAATAAATTTTAAACTTCAGTGTTAGTGCAGAGTTTCTTGAAAACCGGTACTTTTTATGCCCCCAGTACACTCTCGCCGAGGCAAGGCGAGCGTTGGCGAGTGCGAGAGTGTACTCGGTTCGCTCGTCTTCTCTCGCCTTGACTCGGGTCGCCTCGCCTCGCCTTGCCTCGTGCTCGCCTGCGCTCCATCTGGAGTCGGTTTTTTGACACGAGTCAAAGGACCCGAGACTGCACGAGTGGCGAGCGCTACTTCCACATCGAAGTTTATTCCATTTCGACTGCGAGAAAATGCGAGAGTGTACACGGTTACCTCGTATAAGCTCTCGCCCGAATTACTCGGCGAGTGCCTCGGCGAGGCGCCTTGGCGAGCGTCTCGGCGAGAGTGTACTGGGGGCATTAGGATCTTTCAACTATATAAATTTTTCTGGTAAACAGATTTTTTTTATTGACACCACGTAAAATGTATTTAAAACAGCTTATATTTATTTTTTGTTTCAACAAAATCGGATAATTCATCTCAGATATATTTAGGCTCAAACTCGAGTGCACATATTTATTTCCCCGACATTGTGATACAAAAACTTGCCATCACTCTGTTTTCAATAGTTCAAAAGACAAAAACAAATAGTGATCATGTCACCTTTCCTGACATAAACATTACTTTCGATACACAAACATAAGTTACAACTGAAGTTTCCGGTTAGGTAAAAAAACACAGTTTTTTATGTTCAATTAGCTGAATTTTACACTAAAATGTATTGTACGACAATTAATGGACTCCAATTAATGGATTACGAAATATCAGATAATTTTTTAAAGTCTGATGAAGTAGTTTTTCCAGTGTGATAAAAGTATAGTTTTCTACTAAATTTAAAAGTGACCTATTTTTGGCGAGATAAAGTTTAAAAGAGCATGGGAAACACATTGAGAAATACACTATAACTGTACTAAAAAATAAAAATTATATTCATTAAAAAAATATATAGGCCTATTCCACTTCAAGTTAAAAACGAGACCATCATACTTTTCTCCACTTGCCTCGAAGCACTTGTGACAGATGCTTTAATTATTTTTGTTTTGGGTACATGTACAAACACAATAAAAATTTTAACGCGTTTCCACCCTTTTCATTTTTTCAACTTGTTGAAATGTCGCTAAGATTGGTCACTTGATATCACACTCGCCTGCCATTGCAAACAAATATTATTAATCTACTCCTACTTAGTTAAAACTGTTCACCTTAAAATAACTTATGTATTTCAAATATTTAACTATCACTAAAATATATATAACGACAAGACAACTAAGAAACTAACAAAAAATTAACACCTGTCACGGTCAAATAATGAACATCGACTGAAGTGAAGACATTGTTTTGACACTTGAGATTACATATCAATCGCCAAACAAACTTTCCCCCTTCCCACCCTTCAGTGCTTGGGGTATTGTTATTGACTGCCATTGGCTCGCCCCCCGGGTCCGCTGCATACCAAAAAGCGACTGGACTTTGACTTTCTCTTTCCCCACCCCCCACGTTGTTTGTCACAAGGGCGCTGACCTCTCACGTACGCACGCAACACGCAACCCTCACTGAACACGTAAAATAAATAACCCGTACTGGAAATACTTTCGCCTGACCGATTTAAAACTAGCGAATATACTATCTATTCGTTGTCTATTAAACTAACTGAGTAGAAGTTATTTCCAGCTCTTTTTAAAAACTAACGAATAAAATAGAAGTTAGCAAAAAAAACGAACGAATAGCGCTATTGGTTAGAATTTCTATTCGTTATTCCCAAGTATGCTACTCGTACAGTATTTTTTTTTCCCTAGTCATTGAATTGTGTTGATCATTTTTGTTATTGTAGCGTACATGATGGTGGCGTTGGGGTAATGTGTGTGATTGTGTAATGTGGAAACGTGAGACTAATTTAAGCGTGCTGAATCTGCTACCAAATGATTTACATGAAAGGAGATCTTTTACCCAGACCGGAAGCTTGCATAGCCAGCTTTGATTTATCTATTCCTAATTCAACTAATTTACTTAAACAATCCTTCCAAAACTTGTGAGCTATAAAATGACTATGTGTGAGATGATTTGGTTGTGATTGTACTACTTAAATCAGAAATAACTTTGACTTTATTGAGATAAATTATGGAAGCCCACTGGGGAAAACATGTTAGGTACCCTTTCATGTTGAAAATGGTCAAAGCTAAAGGCCGGCAATTAATCAATTCCTACATAACCAATGTCGGGTGACTCTTGCAGGTCTTCCCCCTTGGTTTGCTAAACTAGCCTGACATTTGAATTTAATATCTACACATATAAATAACCTATAAAGACTTATCCATTTTATGAAGGGTTGCAGAACCAATTTTCAGTGGTAGTCCGGTGACGAGTCGGGAAGATATAAGAAGAGAATTGGAAAAGTAGGTGGGGAAAGCATTCGCTCTATCGCGGTGGGCTGACGAGTTCGACATGCAGCCCTGCCACGCGAAGCGCTGACACTATAATAAATATAGCGATCCACTATGCAATACTTTCCAAACTCTCCGACGACAGCAGATGAAAAATATAAAATAAAAAAAATTATATTTTCCGACAGTTACCTGACAACGTTGGCTTCTTTGCAATTATTATGGCATGCCAAGTAGCTAATTGCTGCATTACCTACTTTGTTTTGCCACACTCATTTTAATTTTGCCGCACAAAAATATATAAGTCTATGACGGTTAAAATCTGAAGCTGCCTAAAATGTGGTTTGCAATGTTCCCTAAAATGTACTCCAGCCATAATTCTAATCCCCTAGTAGCACAAATATGTATTTTATAAATATTTTATATATTTAAAGTTGTATTTGATAGAACCTCTAATAAAATATATAAATAATATATCTTTAATAATAGTTTGATATATTCAAATAAATATTTAAAATATTACCAAAAAGCAATGCAAAATATAAATTAAATATAAGTTTTGAATATATAAAATAGATTCATAATATATATTGATAAAATAAGTATAGAATCTATAATATACATATTTTATATGTATATTTTTCCTATTAAATATTAAAAAAATTATGTGTTGAGAATATTTTAAATATATATATAAAATATTTTTGATACTATATTATATATTTAAAGTATTTATAAATATATTTCGAAACACATCAGATATTTTTATTGATAAAATAATAATATATTTGTAGAATATATAGCCTATAATCTTTTATAATTAGCAAATAAATAATTTGCATCTTTTTGTTTTGTATAGTGACTATCAATTTATACATGCATTTTTTGTATGATAATTGCTATTAGTCCAGGCAAATTAGATCAAATTTAGGGTGTGCTCCCCAAAAAATCGTCTAAAGCTGGAAAGTGTTTTAATACCTTTTGGGGGTCCCAAATAAGACTCCTGTGAGTTTGCGACGGATTCTGACGTCTGCTTAAGTTTTGGGAGTCGAAAAACTATGAAAATTTTGCACTTTTTTCAGTTTTTCGCTTATAACTCCTAAATAACGAATCCTAAGGAAAATGTTGTTCAAAGGTGTCTTTTAGTGCATTAAATTCCGCGTCGATTTATGTTAAATACGTCGAAATCGGCCGAGCCGTTTAGCCGCTGTAGCTTTTCAAAGTTGGGATATTTTCATCAACATGGCCAAAAAGTTGATTATTTGGCCAGTTTTCGGCTTACAACTCCTAAACTACGCATGCTATACAAAAATGCACCTGTAGTTAGTTTGTAAAACACAAAATTCTGCGTATAATGTTTTTTTATTGATCAATAACGGCAATTGACTGTTACTTACTTCGCATGGTCGCCATTTCATTGAAAAAAGTATTAAAGTTAAAGTTGGGAAATTTTAC